CTGGCCAGGATGTACCACAGAAATCATCTCATCCACACATAGCCCGGATATGCAGAGAATCATTCCATGACACATGACATTGGCTAGATTTTTCAGATCTTTTATACAATCAAAACTCATAGAAATTAATTGGGTCAGTGTTCATTGGTCTCAAGTGGCATAGTTCTTAGTATTTGGTCTCCTATTGGATCCAGATTTCTTTGCTTCTGATGTTAATTAGATCTTCATTCCTTGATTTTCTTATCAATCTTTTCTGGAGGAGATGTCTCTAACTTTGCCAGAGGAGGCAGAGACTGGGGTAGATGTTCCTAGATGGCAGCTGATGGCCTTTTATCTTCTGGGCTATTCCCAGACTGTTGAGATGTTAAGTTCATCAGACCTCACCTAGAGGAACAATGCCCTGGAAAGAAACTTAAAATTCTTTTTCCCCAGGCAGAGAAAACCCCTTGACTAAAGATATACAAAAATTTTTAAACTGGTATGTTTTCCCACAGGTTGGGTGTGCAGATCACAGGCTCAGTTGAACTTTTCTGTCTCTCTTTTGCCATCATGTTTCTTTGGATGTCAGAAATTAATGCTGGCAACAGTCAGTACAGCTTTCCACTATCTGAAGGGGGTTTATTTGGTGATGCCTTTGTGCATCTGGACACACTGTTCCAAACCACTTTCAAGGGATGTTGATCTTCAGTACAGTTTATAGGACCTGAGTCCAACCACCAGCCTGACTTCCTCAAAAATACAGGCTACCAGTTTCCACTTCTTACTTCACCTTCAGGAACAGACCTGTATTGACCCTGAGGCTTTAAAGAAAAATAACAATTACTTCTTTGATTGATCAACTCACTGCTATGTGTTTGTTGTTTGTAATTTTTTTAATCCCCCAACATGCCTATTTGATGTTATCGGTTGGGACTGCCTTCTTCCTCTGGAATTTGATTCAAATCAAATGTTCTTCAAATGTTTTGAAGTTCTTGGTATTTGAGTTTCAAGTTGTGGGTACTATTCCACTTGCACTCACTGGTGTAATTTAGTATATCTGTCATTTATGCTCAAGATAACAGAGTCATTTAACTGCAGGATCTCATCAGTGCAATTGACCCTGTGCCTTTAAAATGAGGAGCTGATTGTCTTGGCATTCATGGAAGCAGAGAGCACAGTAGAATGCTGCAGTTCCTGGCCCTTCCAGAGCAGTACTGCAGTCAATTTATTCTTTTGTTAATTGGTTTTACATCCAGTATCCTGCTGGTTTATTATCATCCAAGTGACTGTATGCACCATGCATAAGTAAAAGTATAGTAAAAATCAATACTTGAAACTTTTTTTCCTTGTAAGCAAAGCCATCCATGGGCTACCTTTGATACATGACCTTAATTCTGCTTGCAACACAGCTAGTAACTTTTTCATAGTTTAGTCCTATGGTAATAAAGTAGATGCCCAGGTTTTGATCTGTACTTAAACTTGCATCCTAATGAAAAAGGAATAATTATTTAAGAATTAAATAAATAAAAGGCTGTTATTGTTGATAAATAAGACTAATTTTGAGATGGGTAAAATTCATGCTATTTTTGTAAAAAAATATTGTTGTTTCACTAGGTCCTAATAAACATCTTACTTCACAGGCTTGAATCATTTAGTGACTGTTATCAAAAGCCTGAGTCCTATGAATGCTGCTTTTTCTGCTTCAGTTAGAGAAACAAGGATTTAAGAGCTGGTATGAGGTTGCATTGTGCGTGGGATTGAGGGCTGGGTTCCAGGTCTGAATGTCACACAAGCAGATGGGACTATGGAAGTAACAAGATGAGAATGTTTTTTGGTATTTTTCTACTGTTGGACATGTAGACATGTTCTCTCCTGCATGTGTTTTTCAAACCTTGATGTTGTACTTAATGCCTTTGTATTACTGATGTCCGGGGGAGGCCTACTCTTCTTTCAGAAGAAAACTATGAAATAGAAGCGGAATCAGATGCAGTCCCTCTCCTGATCTAGAGTAGATATGAAAGCAGAAATTTCCTTCTTGGAAAAAAACCCATTTCTCTACTGTAGGTACCCTGTTGGCAAAAAGACAAGGACTTTGCTGACTCAGCTTTGTGCAGCCCCAAATGGGCAGTTTTTCACCCAGATTACTGGATTTGCATTATCATTTTCGAAGTTTGTTCTTTGGGGATCTTTTTTTCTGGAGTATGTGGATATTACCTGTTCTTGGGCTCATTGCTTTCTAAACACATCTTCGTGAGGAGAAAGGCAAGTTCTTATGTTGTGCTGGTTAAGATCATGCTACAAGGCAACTGACTGAGGCAATTTGTAGCTCATGGAAAAAGCTACCAAGACTTTTTAAAAAAATGTCAACCCTTTTTTTTTTACAAAAATATTTAATCTTTTCTGAATTCAATTGTATGACTTACTGCCATTTGAAAATACGAGGAAACCCCCTTTGTTTTTGTGGTGAAAAGGATATCCCAGAATTTCTGAGACTGTTCCGTCTCTGGGTGGTGACATCCTGTATGCCCTTCCTCCAAGTGAAACATTCAGAAAACAGCCTGCAGAGTGGTTTCAGTTCAGTGAAGATTATGCCTCTTTGAGGGGTGTATTTCCTTGTCTCAGGAAATTACAATGTTATACAAAAAATACATTATGTTGTATTGTGAAGATGGAACAAATCAGACAAACGAGATGGTACTAAAGAGGGAAAACAACCTGTGCTATTTCTGCAAATTGCCCCCCCTCTTCCTCTCTGTTGTCTTAGAAGACAAGCCAGGGCTCCCCAGCATTGCTTTTTAATTAGTAGAAATCCTTTTGTACTTAATCCTAATTCAGTGCCTTAATGCAGCCAGGTCCTGCAGTGCCAGCAAGCTTACATGGAGCACAAACGCCTGAAATCTTTTTCTCTGGCATCCCCCTGCATGAGGCTTGTCTTCTGTTCCTAATTATGTTCTGTGGTGACAGCTTGGGGTTTGCAGTGGCAGAGGTGCGGCTGGGGAAGGGGGAGGCAGAGTGACAGGTGATTGCTCTGTCTCCATGGCATCACTGAGCTTTATCTTAGAGCTGTCAAAAGCTGTGCTTGCACCTTTCTTTACTGTGTACAGCGACCTGGTGCCACAAAGTACACCTTGTATGGGTCCTGCTTAGTCACTGTCCTCTTACCAGGTTATTTCATATTAGGTTTTTCCTTTACTTTGAATCCGTTCCACTTTTAATGAACCTGGACAAGTATTGTGAACACACATATAAATGAAAGCACCAATTCAGTATTTTACCATTTGGTGCCTTTAGTTAAGGAGTTAAAATTCTTACAAGTATATTGTTAGAAACCTTTGACACTGCCTTTCCAGGCCATGCTGAGTCCCATCCTGCTCATTGTGAATTAGTATTAGGTTTTCGGGGTTATAATGAAACGCTACAGCTATGAGGAAAACAGCTTTTAGCCCCCACCAGTTAGATCCCAGTTCATCCCAGTTTCTGTCTTAGACACCCCACTGAGCACTGTCTTTTATGCTCATGCTTTTAGAAAGATGTCTCCAAGAATGATTCAACTGTCCTAGGATCTGTTTGAAACTTTGGATGAATTTCTCCTCTGTTGATTTTGACTGACGCTATATGTATAAATTTGCTATGACACAGCAGTGTAACTCATATGCATGCATTTTAAATCTGAAATGCCAAAGTCACACATGTAGAAGTGGTTCTCTGAGTTATTAGATTTATTTAATAACCATGGATTCTTTTCAAGAACACACCTAAGTAATATTAGGGCTTCTTGCTGCTCCTAAACATGTACTTAAGCATTCCTCTTTGATCCAGAAGGCTAGATTTTTTTTCCCTTTCCATTTTTTTTCTTTTTTTTTTTTTTTTTAACAATTACATGTTGGTATTCTTCATGTTATCTTGTTTCCAGGTGTTAGGCTGAAGAGTACAAAAGAAATATGCCAAAGTAGACAGGACATGTTAGGGATGCTCATTTACATGGGTACAAATAAGGTTATTGTGGTCCGACTTTTGAAGTTCTGCCTCCAAAGATATTTATCATGTGTAACTTTTCTTATGTTCTACAGCACTTCCTTAAATGTCTTGTGGACTTGCAGTACATAAAGAAAAGGATTTCTAAAATGCTGTGACGACTTGTGTTTCATAACCTGTATTTTCATATCCTGTACTTCAGCCAGCATGATCAGTTTAGTGGCTTTTTTGCTGTATAGTTTTTCTTGCCAGTATATTTATTTACCACTTATTTATTGCAAACATAATCCATGAGAGTAGATCACTCTACAAAACATTTTTGAGAGCCTCAGAAGTATGATGAAAGCTCACAAGACCAGATTTCTTTTCCTCACAGAAAATGTCTTTGGCAGTGTCCCGTCCTGCTGTAAATAGGAGAGTCGGAGGATTCTTTTTGATAGATTTCTCAGACAAAAATAAAGTGACAGAGCTGCCAGCACGTGTACAGGCCCTAAAGGAATCACCTCATGTATAACGTTGAGGCATAAATAATCAGATTGTTCCCTCTTAAGGAGGAAAGGTTCTCTAATGATCTGATAATGCCCTGGAGAAAAATCTGAAAGGTTGAGACCTGCTTCCTTATTTTGTCAAATTCTACAGCTTGGAGCTGTGACATATTTGGAATTAGTTAAATAATTTTAGCTTCTATTTTGGTGGCAATGAAAAATAAAACTATGGCAAGAAGACTCATGATAATAATGATGCCTGGAGAGGGGCTCACTCTTATGTTGATTGTTTGGTGTCTAAAACATGTTCAAGCTGAGCTTTTTTCACATAGGACACTCTGGGGGGTCTCTTCCCCTCACAGCTGTTGCAGTAGTCCTGGAGCTTTCTACATCTTTGTAAATTCTGACTGGAATCAGTTCCTGGTTTAGAAGTTGCAAATGAATGACACAAACACACAGTGTGTTTTCATAACCATTATCTCTCATGAAAACAAGTCTAAAAAAAGCTTTTTATGTGTGTCAAGAATGCTGAGCTAAAGGTGTAAAAATTAACCCTTCCAGGTAAGGAAAGCTGTGCAACAGGAGGGCTTCATCAGAAGGAAGCGAGGATATAGAGACATCAATGACATTGACATCAGCATGAATGATCCTTTATTTACGAAGCAGTGGTACCTGGTAAGTTTTGAGAGAAAATCACAGTAATCATAACTATCATAAATAGTTATCATTCAAGTAATTCCGTGCAGTTGCAGTGTTTTCCAACAGTTCTTTCCAAATGCAGGACTTGGGAATGGATCCAAGGCTCTATTGTGTTGGTTTTAATTGCACCCCTTTTATATTGGGAAGATCCAGCACATTTCAAGAGATAAATTTCATTTCAGTCAATGGAAAGATCCTTAGAAGGCTTGAAAGAGAACAGTATTGATGTCCTGTGGGCATTGCTGGTGTGACCCCTAGAGCTACATATGAATCATGTCTTTGAGCTGTTGCCAGGTAAAATATTGTTATGGAATTATGACAAAAGATTATAATGTATTTGCTAGCAAAAGTTAAAGCTTTTCTTTTCTTATGGAAATTTGAATATAATTTCTTTTGTCAAAAACAGAACAGCTGAAAACTGATGAATTTCTGCTTTAGCTAAAGGAAATTAATATTTTGCTAAATTGTTTCAGCTTTTCTGTGTCATATTTTTAGAGGGAGAAGTATTTAGTCATAAAAGCAAAGTTATATTTTTACTTTGAAGTGAAATGATTTTTTTGTTTAAAAACTTGATAAAGTAATTCTGTCAGTTTTATTGTTGCAACATATTTATGATTAAATATTCAGTAAATGCAGTACTGCCTTGTTAACTTAAGAAGGGTATTTTTGCTTAAGAGTAATGTTTCTTCCTCTCAATCCATTTCTTATGTTTCATGAATCCATCCAATTTGGTTGTAATTTTTTTTCCTAAGGCAAGAGTTTTCAAATTAATTGGGGGCACATTAGCATGGATGGGCTTTTATTCTTGATGAGTCGATAAACTAAAGTGAGGATTAATTCACTTATTTTCTGGTAGTTAATCAAAATGTTTCAGTGATAAAAATAACAAAAATTTAGGAAGCTACACAGTAGATCCCTGCTTTCAAGAAGAAAGTATTTCCTGCTCATAAAAATGTCCTCTGTAAAGTCAGTTGTTCTAACTTTTTTCCTGTATTGACCCAGTGGCTGACATAGTAAGTAGAAAAGTCCTTTTTTGGGGTCCAAAAGATTCAATGTTTAACCAAATCTTATAAACCACAAAAAATTCAATTTTGCCAGTGTTGGGTTTTTTCAGTTTTTTTCTTTTTTTTACAGCTGCATTATTGTAGTAGATATGTTTATGGACAGATGTGTACTCCAAAAACATATGGAATATATTTTCTGTACCAAAGATTCATGCAGAGACATAATGGAAAAAACAGTGGCTGTGGAAGTATGTCAGTCAAGTAAAAAAAAGCTTTTTTTTTTTTTCACTGATGTATTAGATTAACACTGGTCAAGCAGATGGGACTCCTGGACTTGACCTCAATGTAGCTGAAGCATGGGAGCTGGGATACACAGGGAAAGGAGTAACCATAGGAATTATGGATGATGGTAAGTGAAGACTGAGTGCAACTTTAATACTTTTAAGTCGACTTTTTAAATTTAATTGAAGTTAAAAAAAATATACATATATATATAAGATGAGAAAGTAATAATCAATTGCTTGTAGTGGTGAGACTACCAGCCTCCATAAATACTTTAAGATCTTCAGGAAAAATATGATACAAAGATAGGGGTACTGAAGAATGGATATCCAAGCATTAGAAGTAAATTATCACTCAGATAATCTTCCAGGGCACACTGTATTGGCCATTAAACCTAAGGAAAAATTCCCCTTGACTTCTGTAGGCATTGACTGGAGAATGAAATTGCTGTGCAAAAAATATTTAGGAAAATCTTTTTTACATTACATTATTTTCAGTCATCCTTGAGGTCTGAAATAATTAAGCACTTTCATGCTGAATGTCAATGAAGATCTGCATATTAGATATACTGCTAGTTTCAGACTAAGTTCAGGAAAGATGAAGATAAAAGTACAATTGAAGTTACAGCTCTTCTGCATATGAGTTCTTGCTGAAGTACAGGAATTCCATGCAGTTTCTCAACACTCTTCTTTGGAATAAATTTTGAATATTTTCCTTTAATGGGGCTGCATAATATTAAAAATAAATAAAACATCTGTATCCACATATTTTTCTAGGGTCAGCCAGGGTCTGTCCTCACTTATTTCTATTCCTCACCTGCTTACTCCTATGGCAAGGTTTTTGTGGAAGTAAGAAAGTAAACTCAGACATCTGGATGTTAGGAAGAAATTCTTTGCTAGGGTAGTGAGATACTGTAACAGGTTGCCAGGGGAGGTTGTGGCAGTATTCAAGGCCTGGTTGGATAAGGCCTTGAGCGACCTGAATTGTGTATTGATGAAAGATCAATCTCATCTGAGAGATGATTTCTTGTGTCACAATTTCACTGATCTCACAGAGGCAAGACATGGCTTTCAGATTAGCAAGGCATGACTGTGAAGGAACGATGCCAAACTATTTGAGCTTTGTGTCAATAAAACTGATGGTCCATCAGATACAGCTTTTAGAGAAGAGAGTAATTTGCCTTATAATTTGTTTCTAGTAACTAAAAAAGATGGCCTGGTTAACAGGATTCTTCATAGAGATTTTTATTGTCCATCTACCATTTGGATCAGTAACAAGGGTCTCCTAATGCAAATCTAGTGCTAAGGACCCTACAAAATAAAAAGTTAATTTTTCCATCAGAACAACTATGATAATAGAGCGTTCTCCTTGCAAATAAAATAGAGTATTAATGGAGAGGTGGTTAGAAAAACAGGACTGAGTGGTGATGATGAAAATGTAGCATGAGGTTGGTGGCCATTTCTTTGTATATTTTAACTGGCTATGTAATAGGTTATCTTATCCTAGCTGAGTGTAGATCTGCTGCCTCTGTTACACCATCTACTGGGATTTGTACATTTGCCATGTGTAGAAAGATGCCATGCAATAGAATATTACACACCAATGCTCTGTTAGAATCTTTAGCACAGTACCAAAATGTGGAGCCTATACACAGATATTTCCTAAAATGGTTTAATCCAATATTAGAAGTTCTCTTTCATGCATATAATCTGAAATCCTTGCCTTAGTGATCACACCAAGTCCACTCTAGGTAATTTTCTACTTAGTTTACAGTGGTTAAAAATACTCATTTTTCTATCCTGTACTAATCCAATGCTTACCAATCTTGTTAGTTTTGGTATGCTTTGAGATGACAAAACTCATACAAAGATAAATTGTGATTTAAACTAATCCTTATAAATAAATATGATCTAGTCTACAAAACAGTAAACTTTGTCATTCAGCTCACTTTTTCAAATAGCACCTGGATTTTGACATAAATAAATCCACATTTAAAAACTGGAATCTAATTTCAATCAGTTGCAATATTCGCCATGATTATTTTCCTCTGGTTGTAAAGGAATCTTGTTCTGTGATCATTAGAAAATATTTTTTGAAACTCTTAACCTTTGGTTTCTGTTCTGTCATTGTCTTATTGCAGGAATTGATTATCTGCATCCAGATCTTGCATCAAACTACGTAAGTTCATGCTGACCTTTTCTGTAAGATGTGGATTTTCTTATTATTATAGTCCCTCTGCTACAAAATTTTAAATAGGGAGTTGAACAGCAGTACAGCTGGACTCCTGATCTTAGTGATCATACATTTCCCATTGAAAGAAGCAGACTGAAAATGGGACTGCTTGTGCAAGGAATGGAGACGTGACAAGGCTCTTTGTTGAGGAATGACAGTCTTGTGTCACATTAAATAAGCTGCAGCTTGCAATATTGGATTTAGGACAGAAATGAGTAACCTGTGAATTTTCTCTAAATCCTGCTATTAAGATGCAGAATGCCCTATCACTTGAAGAGCCATGGAGCTGTGGGCTGTGGCAAGGCATGTATTAGCGTTTGAAACCTCCAGGAACAGTTTAATTTCTTTATTTCTTGATCCAGTGCTTCAAAGCATATGCAGGGCAGATTGTGTATTCTCAGCACATGCTATGAAAATTGATTGTTTCTCAAATCTGCCTCAGGATTCAGATCTTTGGACTAGGACGTTTTTGCATTTCTTAACTCTTCTTAATTTCTTCAACCTTCCATTGGCACTAGTACTTCTGTCTCCAGGTGCCTTCAGATCCCTTCCTGTGCGAAGCCCAGGCTGCTTCATTAGTGTGGTTGAGTTTGCAATTGCAATTAAATGAAAAGAGGAACAAGGTGAGCTGGAGATTTTGGGAATAAATGTCAGCAACTTGGATACAACAGCTCCAAAAGACAGTTATTTTTACATACGTGCCGTTTGGAACATAATAACACACAGGATGAAAACCTATTTGTGTTGCAAGTAGCAAAGCACATTTGGTAGATTATAAGTGGATATGGAAGATCTGTAGAAGGCTTTGGAGAAGGAATTTGGGAAACGGCTGACCACAGAATGCAGATTAGCCAGGTTCACTCTTTACGAACTGGCTTAATAGCAGCTAATTAAACCCTGTGCCCTGACTGCAGAATTCTCTCCCAGGTGAAATAACTCAGTAGGATGTTCCCATAAATTCATACAAATAAATAAATTTGTAAAAGGTAGCCTTTTTCTTTGCAGGAATTGTGCTCTATGTATGTTCCAGCATGTGATGTGGGCAAAGCACATGCTCTACATTCACTTTTCAGGACCAAATGTGGACAAAGTATGTGAGAATATTCTGTTTCTAAAAATCATGTTTCAAATACACAAGCAAAAAGTCTGCACAATATACCTGATATAACAGTTCTGTTGTTAACAGTGAATCTAGGATCATGCCCAGAAACCGAAACTAGATTCTGCTGTAATACAGTGTTTTCTCTTTTAATTCCAAAATATTTTCTGTTTGATGGGTAAGTATTTGTCAGGTTTAGCAGAAATATATTGGTTTTAGAGTGGCAATAGCGAGTATTGTGGAAATCAATGGAAAATGACACAGAGAAGGACAATGCACAGACATGGTGGTATAAATCCTGAAATAACGGAGCTGGACAGAAATCTGAGAGTTAAAAGAGATATTGGGATAAAAATTGGAAAGAAAAGCTGTCTGGACATGGGGTCATCAAAACTTTCATGGCAGTCATGGAAGACTTAGGAGGAGACTGACTTTAAAATGAAGATCTGAAAAGATTTGTGCAGGAGTGACTGTCTAAGTGAGGAGAAGTTCTGTAGTGTAGCAGTGATGGGGCTATAGAGGGAAAAGAGAGATTAGCTGGCTAATACAAAATGCAGAAGCAAATGGCTGGTTGGTAAGACAGTCATTAAAGGAGCAGCAGAAATCCCATCTAAAAGATCTTGAAGGAGATAAGACCTCCAGGATTTAATACTGAAATTCAAAAATAGGACTTATCGCATGAGGTCTATAGTCCCAGGCTGTCACAGCACTGTGTCTGAGAGGTGGCTGGTTAAGGACAAGGTTGATTCCTTCTCCTGACCTGCCATCACCTCCCTCACCTAACCACAGCAGAGTGAGTGCAGGGCTTGGTTCACCTGCACTTTCTCTCTCCCTGCAAGGCTGCACAGCCCTCGCTTGAGTCCTAGGAGCTCCTGCTCTGGCAGCATCTGCTGTCTCTCAGAGGCCATAGGGGCCTTTTTCCCAGTAGGTAGTAACTTGGGCATGAAGTAAAGATAAGGACTTAAATTCTGCTGAAGAAAAGATCAGTTTAGATGTAAAAATGAAATGAAACTAGCTTCTTAAGGAGTGAGTTGTTAACCCGATTCAGGCTGGCATAGCAATTACAGTCATCTTTGTACAAGTCCTGTACCACATTCTTAATGTTTCACTATATCTGTGCTTTGGGGCAGCTTTCTCTGAAGTTCTGTTGTTTATTTTTGGGAAATAAAAAGGTTCTCAATTGTATTAAAGCCTGCATACCCTGGCAGTACCTTTACATCTTGCTTAGAAAATTGGGAGCAATTAGAAAATAATCAGAGGTGGTAGGTTTGGCAGTTGAGCATTTTCAAGCATAAAACCTTGGCCTTGGTTCCTCAGTTTAATCTGGCTTTTATGATTTTGACTTTCTGGTTTTCTTGCTTGAATAGTTTAATGGGGGTTAGCACTTGGATGAAATGCAGGGTCAGGGAAGAAAAAGGTCTTTCTAAAGAAGAAAATTTTGTATTTTCTCTTAAGACTGCTGAACTTTGACCTATCATATGGAGTGCACTTCCATCCATATTTTTCTTTGTTGTTTTTTTAAGATTTACTGCTTGAATCATCCATTTCTGGTTTTAATGCTCTTTATATACATGGAAAGACATGTGCCTGCTCATGGTGTGGGTGGACTGCTCTCCCAGCATTGCCTCCCAGCTTTCTGCAGTATTGCTACCTGCTTTTCTGGGATCAGGGGGTTATGGCAAAGCTGGAATTTTCCATTCTGCATTGTGAATGTGGAGAGACTCATTGTCAAATGATCTGTATTTTCTTCCAAGCCTTAGAAACCCTGCAGGGAACCTTGGAAACCTTCAGGAAATTATTTTTTCACTGCAAAGAGAGCCCATCATTATGAACTGATAATTAAAAAGCTGGGGCCTAATGTACACTATGGTTTGCTTTCAAAACATAATATACATATAAACCCAGCACTTTTCAGGACTGACTTCTCCCAGATACAGCATCTGACTGAGAAGGAAAAGTCAAGTAACAGGGGCTGCATCTGAGGTATGCCTAATAAAAAGGGGAAAAAAGCAGCTGCTGGGGATGGACATAGCAAGCTATTTTAAAGAAAAAGCTAAGCAAATGGAAATTTGTTGTGCCACAAACAGAAACATAAGCTGAGCTCTCTCTGATACCAGTTTTATTATTGTGGTATTTTATCCTTGGCTGCTATCTGCTGGTGAAGATCAGTGTAGCAGCATTATCCCACTTAGAGCAGTGGGGAGCTGATCATCTTCTGTAAGTGGGTTTGTCCCCTGATTGGCAGTAGTTAGAAAAATAGGATCCCACCAAGAGACTCAGGCCAGGAGTAAAAAATTGCAGGTTTCAGTTTCTGAACTCTGCCTGAAGCTCTGAAAGCTTGTTTCAAAAAACCTAGGGAGAGAGAGAGAACAAGACAAACACTGCAAGAAAACTGGAGGTGACTATGTGAGTAGGTAACATTTTCACAAAGTATTAATTCATGTAGAATGAGAATCAAGCAGCAATTCTTAGTAATAGACAGCAATTTAAAAGATTTTGAAGTCTGTAGAATTACACAGATGTAACATGTGCAAACAAGCATCAACCTGAGCAGTGCTTCATTGCTGGCTTTCCTCAAACCTCCTCTCTTTTCTTCTCTGTACTATGAGTCCTTATGGTGCAGCCTTATCTTCCAAGGTCCTTGCCAGCTGTCACTCAAACTGTATGCAGGAAAGGCCCTATGTAAGGAATGAGCGAAGACTTTTTGGATTTACCTCAGGGTTAGTCAAAGTTTTCTCTCATCTACCGTTTCTCATTCAAATGTGAGCAGCAGATTGTCTTCTCTTTCCACTTTGTCAGCATCTCCAAACACAAAGCAGTCTCTCCCTAATAACTTCTGATAACTTGTCTCCAGCCAATGCCGTAATGGTTCCCCCCACCTTGCTGAGAGTATATTTTTGGAATAATTATCTTAATCACATAAGCAGTGAAGCAGGGAAATGTTCCACTTCTGTTCTGAGCTGCATTTGCCATTGTTTGCTAGAGGAACAAAAACATCATTGAATAATCTTTACAGCCACAAAATAGTACAGGCAATAACACTGCAATGTGTGCAGCAAAGTGTAGCAACAGCAGGAGGGATCTTCATACTTTTAGAAAGTCGGTTTTTCCTTCATTACCATGAATTTCTGAGCATGATTTGGCCTCCCTGCACACCACAAAAAGGACCAGCAAATTTTTCTGGTGGCCATGAGCCTGATCACAGTGATTTACAGTACAAACCATCAGTATCTCCACTAAAAATCTCTGGGGCTTAGCTGTTGGATTTTGTAGAGCTGACAAAGCTCCACTGACATTTATTGATCCACACTGCTTTGGCCTTGGTGACTCCCCACCCCCCACCTCAAAATCCCAGCCAAATAGAGTCCACATATAACTGTTAGGGAGAAAACTGTTACCCTTCCAAGAGCAAAATTTGTTGGAAACACTCTGAAGACATTGAAAAGCTCCCAGTGTCTCTGCACTTAATATGAACCCAGGGAATCCTCAGGGATCATAAACACAAACCATAGGAGAGTCAGGTTGATACTGGCCTAGTGTCAGGCAATGATTTCAGGCAGCTTTATGAGATCTGATTCCCATGGCATGATTTTCAAAGGATGCTGAGACAGTTAAACTGCATTCCCTACTGTATTTCAAAGGGTTATTGAGCACATGCACTAGACACTTCATTTCAATAAACCTTTGCTTCTGATACATTAAAGGTATTTTATGGGCAAACTCTATGTGCTGTCCATCATTGCTACCATCTATTTTAATTATAATGTTAAAAAAGGCATTTATTATAAAAAAATAAAGAACAGAATAAACCCGCTTCAGCACATCACTAATTAGATTTGGGCTTGGT